GGCCATGCCCACCCAGTCACATGACTGGCAAGCCTCCCCCACAAAGCAGGCCACACCTACAGAAGAGGTTTTTAAAAAGTTTGAAACCCACCACTGGTATATAAGCAATAATAATGACTTTAGGGATAGAAAAGGATGAGACATAATGGAAAATGCAGTCTTACCTCTGACTGCATTTTGCACCTCCAGCTAAATGGGTTTATTTTAATCTTTATAAAAACAGGACAGTTATAACATATATGTGTGTAGTCATTATGATTGAACTGTAAATGTCAATTTCTACACAAATTGTGTAAAAATAATTGTGAAATGTACATTTCTGTAAAGTTGAGATTCTAATTCTCTCTCTCTTTTTTTGTTTGCCTGAAAGGCCCAGAGGCCCAAAATCCTGAACAATATTGAAAATCAGCTGGATGAACTGGGAGCCGCAATAGCACAGATGAAGAGAATGGTGGACCTCATCAAAGTATTTCACCATATTTATTTTATCCCCAGCAAAAAGCAAAATGTTGAACCCTCTGAAACCTTTCCTTTCCACAGACTTTCCTCCCTTTATTGTCTGATGTCAAGAGGTAACAAAAATAGGCCATCCTTCCCCTCAGGAAGGGGTCAACTGTTAGGATGCTAGAGACCACAGTCCCAACATACGTATCTGGAAAAACTGAGGAATACTGTCTTCAAGAAGTGTCCACTTAGGGATTATAGGTCTGTTCTAAAATTTTCTGTATTAACTAATTCACATATAAATGGTGAACACCTCTCCACCATTTCTTATGCAAATGTTTTCTTGAGAACTAAATTACAAATGCAACAGAATCACATGAGGCTTCTTTTCTTGAATAGCAGATAGTCACAGTGTTTAATGTTTGATCCCTGGAGTTGGGATCCCATGTCTGTAGAAAAGTAGTACTGTAGGGCAAAGATAAGTTTCATGGATAACTTTCATGACAAAAACTTTCTTACTTTATGAAATGTAGTCAGGATTGAATGCTGTCCCGTAGAAATTGCAAAACTACAAATTTGCAAAAATTCCCTCAATTTGAGAATGGAATGTTCCTGATAATTCCAGAACATTCCATTCCCAAATTGCTACTTTTTACGGTATTTCTAGAACAGCCATGGTGTTTTTTAAAACTTCTTCCAGTTTCTTAGCCATAGTTAAGAGATGGGGAGTATTTTCATATCCCTCTCTTCTTTTTTCAGCATTTACATTCCACTTTAATGCTAGTTTTAAGTTTTCCGCAGCAATATGACTAGCCTGCAAAGAGAACGGCACAGTAAATTGAATTAGGAAAAATTATTAAAATGAGGGCTGGAAAAGACGTGTGTGAGTCTGAGGGACAAGGAAAGAAATGAAACACACAAAAACCTTAGCTGTACTGAATTTGCCAAGAGATACAGCCCTAGATGCATTTTTAGAAAACTCTTTAAGAAGCAGCTTTTATTAAAAAAAAAAATCAGGAAGAAGCAGCTTATGTTTTTCTTCTCCAGTATGTTCTCATGAAATCCCCCAGTTCTAGGGGAAAGCTCTCCTTTATCTAAGAACCAAGTTAGTGGGTGAGATAGGTGAAAAATAAAGGTTACTTCATGGGCTACATTACAACCCTCCATCACTCCATCTGCTGTTAGTGGGCATCTGAAGATAGTTTGCCTTAAATTTGGCAGCAAAATAACTGAATTCCAACTGCTTGTCTCCCCTCTCCCTTTTCCCTATTCAGGAAATAAAGTGCCCTCATTTCTACCCACATAAATGTCCCCAAATGAACCAAAGCCAAACCTATAAAAATTGTCAATTTTGCCATAATTTTTATTTGATTTGAAGCTGAATAAGGATTGGAAGGTTTCTGTTCCCATTCCTGTCTTTAGCCTGATTGAAATCTCTAAAGAAACAGTCACCAAATCTTCATCCCTACTCCTCCTGAGTTATTGCTGTACTAGTGGAAAACCTTCTGGAACCTTCAGCAAACTGGAAAGCTGACTTACTTCTCTTGATTTCTTTATAACAGCCAAACCGGAGTTGTAGAGTTTTGGAGAAAGGGTAAAACTTGTTGATTGCCTACTCTCCCCATAGTTGTTAGCAATTTTAAAAAAAAGATTTATTTCTTTTAATGAATTCCATATTGTATTTTTTCAGGCTAGTTCTTAAATGTAGGTTTCACGTGATAATTCATTTGTTCTTATTTGGGAAAGGAGCTTGGTTTATTTACATTTTAGGCAATGATTTTTGTTGGAATAAGTCCATCTTTATTTTTTTTTAGGCTACTGCTCAGAAGGAGAAGGAAAAGGTCAGCAGTCTCTTTACCGAGGCCACCAAGGTCCTGGCAACCTTCAAGAAGGAAGTGCTTGGTTTCATTGAGGTTGATGAAAGAGCCATGCTGGGCGGAGCGGAAGAGGAACTGCGGCATAAAGAAGAGCGACATGCCCTGCTGATGGAACACAAGCAGAACCTGGAGAAAGTCCCCAGCATGGACACCATCACTTTCCTGCAGGTGCGCTTCAAGAATGATTTTTGTAGGTGATTCAGTTAACAGTAGAAACACAGCATAGCCTTCATTGTATCTCTTCTCCACCTGGGCACTCAGGATGCATCAGCAATCCTTGGAGAAAGTCCAGCCATAACTCTGGAGCTCTTGCTCAAGAGTTACCCAACTCCATACTATTTGCACAGTACAAATGTGTTTTGTTGGTACCTAAAAAGCCCATTATGTGAAATAGCATCCAGGTGTCTCCATCAATATAGTCATAGGTCAGCAACAGCTGTGTGCATTTGTCTTTAATATAAGGAGCTAGTGAAAAAAGATGCTATACTTAATAGTTTGTATCTACCATCTGCCTGGAGGCTGTCAGGATCTGGATGGGAGCGAACAAGCTTGCACTCAATCCAGACAAGACCGAGTGGCTATTGA